GGGTGGGTGGGGTTGGGTTGTATGGGTGAGGTTGCAAAGCCAATAAATTTAGGGACTAAGGAACAAAATTAAAAGACGCCAACATAAACTCTGTGGCTTTCATCTGCTTTTTACCAATACTTTTGTCTTTTACTATTGGGTGAATAGTCTCCAGGCTGCTTCTCATATTTTGTCCTCTCTCAATTTACCACTTTTCCTGCTTTTCCTAAATGGGCCGACCCAAAAAGTCCATTTCTCCTAAGGAGCCCATCATTTATATCATTAAAGCCCATTGAGCCTAATCAGAAACACGACCCATTTCACTCACCAATCTTTTACTCGGACCATCTTCATTGGTTTTCTTCTGAGAAAAATCTTGGTGTGGGAAAAGTCACATTCAATTCAAATCACATATTATTTACTTTAATATTTCATTGTCTCTCTTTCTCATACATCATATTTAAGTATTTTTTGTGTGAAGAGTACAATGCAATTGGCTATATAGCTAGCAACAGTCCCTTGTATGTACTTAGTTCCTTATGTAATATATAAGAAAGAGCCTTTTGAGCAGCATAAATTAAAGTAGTTAGTCAGCTCTACTCATAATAAATGAACTTTTTGAATTGGCACGCAGACACAAAACCGGAGGAGGGTTCGGGGGAGTGCATTGTGCGTGAGCAGGACCGTTTCATGCCGATTGCAAACGTGATACGCATCATGAGGCGCATCCTTCCCCCGCACGCCAAGATATCAGACGACGCTAAGGAGACGATTCAGGAGTGCGTGTCGGAGTACATAAGCTTCATCACGAGCGAGGCTAATGACAGGTGTCAGCGTGAGCAGCGAAAGACCATAACTGCCGAGGACATCCTTTGGGCCATGTCCAAACTCGGCTTCGACGACTATATCGAGCCCCTCACTGTTTACCTCCACCGCTACCGAGAGCTCGATGGTGGGGACCGTGGCTCCCTCCGTGGGGACCCCTTAGCTGCCGTCAAGAGGGCCCCACTGCCCTTCCACCCGCCACCGGCGGTGGCTTTTCACCATGGCTTCTTTGGGGGACCGTCGGTGAATTTGGGTTTCTTCAAGGACAATGGGAGTGTGGGGCCGTCACAGTTTCCTCACTGTAAGGAGTAGTAGCAGATGTCAAATTGCTAGCGACCTTTTTTTTTCAGTTTTCTTTTTATGTGTTGTTTAGGTCTTGGTGATTCGTTCAAGTGTAACAAGGATGGTTGGGCTTTAACTCTCTCTCTCTCTCTCTCTCTCTCTCTCTCTCTCTCTCTCTCTCTCTGACTCTAAAATTCTTATGGATTTGGAAATTTGCCTTGTGTATCTGTCTTGCTAAGTTGCTATGATATGATATCATCCTCTAAGCATTACTAGAAAAGATATTTTTGTTTCAACTGTGCCAAGTGAAGTAGGTGAAGAACATATTAGGAAGAGAATGTTAAAAATATGAGATTCATGACCAGATTTAGGAACTTCAAGATGATGAACTCAGAGTTTGGATTATCAAAATTTCATACCAGTTAGAGCTCATCGCGAATCCTTTTTTAACAGTAATCAGCTCTTAACCGATATACATTTCTCTTGAAAGTTGTTGAATCTTTTACTCGAATATATCATGTCTACAAAAATTTCGAGTTAAGAATAGAAATTTCGAATTTATGTTTCAATGCACTGCCTTTTCATCTTCTGGTCCTCTATACTTAAACTGTTTCCATTATCCAGTCTTGATACCTCTTGACCATCATCCTCGACATCTGCTTCAGCTTCTTCTATTTGGCATGCAGCATCCTCTTTATCAGCACCTCTACTTTCCAACTCGTCATTGCGTGCGAGGCCATCTTCACATCTTTTCCTCAGAGGAATAACCTGAAAAAACGAGTTCTTCCAGTCTCTTGTTTCCAAGAACTTAAGCAGTATCTCCACAACTTGATTCACTGTAAGGACCTTCATACATCACGTAAAAAAAGAAAAAGAGGGTGATGACAGCTAAAGATACCCAATCAAAAAAAAGTTGTGAAAAGAACAAACCTGAGAACTAGACATCTTCAGATAAGCTCCAATTGGCAGTTTGGCAGTTCTTATCCCTTGTTCTATTGCTTTCTTCATGGTAATGCCTTTCCAACGGTTCCTATCCACCAACCCACCGATAATGTATATCGCTTTTGGATCAAGCTCATCAAGGGCATTTTCGGCATCGGCTGTTAGATACACCAAGTTTTCCTTCTGATCTTTGAAAGCCTCCACATAGGATTGTTCCTCCTTTTCAATTAACCACTTATCATATCCAGGGATCCGTAGAAGCTGATTTTGCATCTCTCCCTGGCAACCTGTCAGCCAAATGTGGGCTGGCACAGCACATCTTCCATTTACCGCATAGCAGTACATAATCTGTAAGTCATGTCCGTAGCAACAAGCTTAATTTGGAGCTAAAAAAAGAATAATCGACCCCAACAGATTCAGCTTTATTAAGAGTGGAAACTGATGCATCAACATATTATGTAATTAAGATGGCATCATCTAAAGTATATTGATCAGAGTAATTAGAGGAACCCTAAATTGATCAATGTAGGAAAGTATGCATGATGTAAGATATACAAATATATAAAGAAAAGGGAAGGGTTACACAGTTCTACTCATCTTCCAGACATGGCTTGACATTTGCATTTGAAGTGCAATATAATGTTCCAAGTGTGTAACATACATATAGGAAATGGCTTAGAATTCCATTGATGCACCAAATCAGCTATTGCAAAACATTATCACTATGGGTTATCGCATGAGCCACAATACAGATAGTCCTTTCGGATTAACAAATTCTATGCCATGCCCAAAGATGCTGCCTTCCAGTGATCTTTTCCTTAAAAAATGTGTAAGAGAAAATTTTCTGTTCATTGTAGCCAAAATTTATGTTCAATGACGAAATGTAAATAAATAACTAAATAAAAGAATAAGCAACTTAAACTATCCATAATAGAAGTAAATCCTAAATCAGGCAGCTGACTGATCAACATGCGTGCACCAGCACACGAGGACGCGCGCACACACACACACACGCATGTATAAAAACACCAAATGTTAGTTGGCCCATGTATCCAGGTCATAATCATTTCATCCTACCGATCTCATAGTCAAACATTTTCTTCAAATTTACCTGAGTCTACAAGTTTTGGTTATGCTAACACTTAGTGTTGGTGGCTAGTTGAGCATTTTTGTATTTTCACATAGATTAGTATCACTCCTCATCAAAAGTGGCTACTAAGTGGAGCAGACGTGAAGGTAATCATTGTAGAAACAGAATCAGGGATAGGTGAAAACTCCATGTTCTGCAAGTGATTTGTATAGCTAGTAAATTTAAGGAAAAATTTGCAACAAAGGAGCATAATCTTTGTGTATAAGAATGGTGTATTGCTGTCAAATTGGGAGGAAAATCTTGCAGAGCAGTAAAGTTACATTATCTTGTTCTTGAGAATAGAGGAGATATACAAGCTATCAGTTTCCTATCCGATCCGACATCGGCTTTACACTATAAATTGTCTTAATTTAAGCAATTGAACTCCAAGAATTGGACTTTCTTGAACTGTCAGCACACTACATTTTCAAAATGAGTAAAACCAAATGGAACCCAAACTATTTCAGCCTATACCATGCATGGTGAGATAATACATCAAATAAAGCAGTTCTTTAATGCCCCGTAAAGCTGCTTAATACCAGCTGGAAGTACGAAAAATAATGGGGTCTGTTCATATAGATAAAGGAACAGCGTACGAAAATCCAAACCAGCTACTCACTTCAAGCATGTAATTCACATAAAACTCAGACAAACTTTTCAATTCGACGAACCCAGAAGAATCTGGAAAGGATTTCACGAACCAGAATTGCCGGTAAACCAAGCAGACAACAAATAAAACCCGCCACTTAAATTAAAAGGCAAGAAAAGGGAACCGAGAAAATCCGAGAGGAAGGTACCTGCTGAACGAGGCTATGCAGTTCACTGGTGCTCATGAGATGGGCGAATTCGAGATCAATAACGAGGTTCTGGCCATTGGTCCTCGCTCCCTGCAGCCTCTCCATCTTCTTCCCTTTCTCCTCCGTCTGCTTCTCCACGCGCTCTTTCTTCAGCACTCTCATCTCCTCAATCAGCTTCTCTCTCTCCTCCTCCCCAACGGTCGCCAGTCTCGCCTCCCACTCCTTACGCTTCCGCTCCACCTCCCTCTTCTTGTGCTCCTTCATCTGAGCCTTTTTCTCCGCCTTTTTCGCCTTGAACCGCTGTTGCTTGAGCAGCCGCTTCTGGGCGTTTTTAGACATGGATTGGGTGGCGGTGTGGGTGGCTTCGTCATTATGAGGGGCTTCCATCGCCGTTCCTTATTCCGAGTAATTAACTGGAAGATAGGGTTTCTCTTTCACCGGAAGGTACAGCACAGAACGACGCCGTAGTAGGCTCTGCCACGATGTGCCACCTCTCACAGATAAATCTCAAATGAAAAACGCCGAAGTGGCCCCACCGGCCCCAACATAACACGCAAATACTAGGTGTGTGTGCTAGGCTTATGTGAAATACACTCTCGCCAAAAGTGTGTGAAGTAAGGAGGTAAAGCGTTTTTTTAATGGAACATGTGTCTCATTTTTATTGGGCAATAAAATTCATACTAGTACAATGTCCGTGTATTACAGGGGTGTTTGTTAATAATCTTTTTTTAAATCTAAAATTAATGACAAAAAATAATTGAAAATTTAAATACATTTTATAAAAAAATATATATTATTATATATTTAGTATTACACTTTTTTATTTGTGTGACTTACCTGTGTTATATTATAACAATTTTTTAACTTACAACATATAACTACATTAAACATAAATATATCAATTGAGAAATAATTTTTTTTTCTAATGAATTTTAATAAATATTATTATTTTTTATTATTATAAAGATAAATATAAGTTATTTATTTCATATATACAAATTTACATATGGATGCCAAATCGAAGATCATCAAAAGATGATTAATTTAATATATTATATATGTAAAACCGATAAAAAATACAAAAGTTATCAACTTTTAAAATACATTTACAATTAAATAACTAATTGAAGGAAACAAATCAAAAGTCAGGATATATTAGTCACATAAATTCTCACTATGTAAAATTACAAAGAATTAAAGAGTTATATTAGTACAAGTGATATTAAAATACCTAAGTTAGTTATTTAATATTTATGGAATGTCCGAACCTATATTGTTAATTAATTATTAATATACCAATATTATTTGTCCAAACCTAATTACGAAGCATGATTCTTTGCCATGTAGGATTACGAAGCACCAGAAGCAGCAATGTAGGCTCAACGCATTCGGGAATAATATATAGGGAGGATATCATATTATATAAATTAAATTATCATTCATATTTTGTATCAAAAAATAAAAATAAAATTACCAAAATTCATAATTTTTCATTCTCTACGAATAGAGACCACATTTGATATTTTTTTGAACACAATTAATTTATCATTTTTACAATTAATTTATCTTATTGGAAGATTATGACATAAATTTATAATTAGATGAATATGTTACATAGTAAGAACATGTTATAGAGGGAAAAATTGCACCATTGGTCCACTAACTTTACCCTAGTTGCACTTCCGTTCTTTAATTGTTTCTCGTTTATAAATGATACACTAACTCTTTTTTTTTTGGCAGCGTTGGTCCAAAATCACATTCCGGTGACCATTTTGCTGATGTGGCGCCGGAGCATCTGATGTGGCGCTTAGTCATCCCGGAATTCCTCGTCACGTCATGACGTGTCACGAGCTGGGCCCAGTCATTTTGACACCTTGCAAAATTAATATTAAAAAATTAAAAAAAAAACAAAAAAAAAATAAAATAAAATCCACATGTACTGAACATGTGGATAATTCATTAAACAAAATAAAAAAAAAGAAACAGAAAATCGATTTGGGGATACAAATTGAAATCAGAACGAACAAACTTCATTTCCTTCATTTCATTTCCATTTTTGCCAAAATCGAAGAGAAAGAATAATGTCACACACGACGAGCGCCATTGACTGCTACTGTGGGAAGAGAGCTGTGCTTCGCACGTCATGAACCGACGACAATCCTGGACGAAGGTTCCATTCCTGTATGAAATGGAAGGTCAGTAATTTACTAATTCAATTAGGGTTCTTTAGTGTACCATTTTAGGGTTCTTGTTCTTCAATTAGGGTTAAAATAAGGTTTCTTGTCTTTAATGAAAAGTAACTAATTTGCACAATTGAATTAGGGTTCTTGAATCTCAAATTAGGGTTCTTGAGTCAAATTGTTCTTTTTTTTGTTCCTTCTCAGAGAGGTGGTTGCAAATTTTTCGATTGGGAGGACCCTCCAATGTGTTATCGGGCAAGGGCTATAATTCCAGGATTACTACGTAAGGTGAATGTCATGGAAGCTGAAAACGAAAAACTGAAGAAGAGCCTTGAAATGATGAAGAGAACCTGCATTTGTTTGGTTGTGGCTTTTGTTCTCTTTCAGCTCCTCTCATGCTTCATGAAATGATGAAGAGAACCTGCAGATCTATGGATTGTGTTTAGTAGAATGTTGCAGAACTATGGATTGTGTTTTGCTTAGTACTGTACTTTTGTTTAGTAGAATGTTTGTGATGGAGTGTACTAGTGATTGTCTTTTGTTTAATTATGGATTATGTGTACTAGTGATTGTCCTTTGTTTAGTTATGGATTATGTAATGTGTGTTGTGTTTTCAACTATGATGTTAAAACCTTTTGGATACTCTAGTTTCCATATGCTTTTGTAATGTATTCTCTTATTTGGATGATGTTAAATCTTCTACTAGTGTAATGTGTTCACTTCTTTGTTTCTATTGATTTATGGGAGCTATGTCTTGTACCTTTACCTATCTTTGTATGCTTTTGTTACACAAATATCCAAGTACATAAACTACACAAGAGAAGAGAAAACACAAGTTAACAAATAAACATTACTACACAAACAGAGTTTAACAAATGTTAGAGTTTGTTACACAACACACAGGTTACACAAACATCAACTGCCCAAAGAAGAATATATTACTGCAAAAACAGTTACTATAGCACAAGAGGTTCCAAAATCATACATCAAATTTCAAAACCCAACAAAACAAGAGGTTTCACTCCAAAACAAGTTCTAATATCACATCCACTACATCCACTCCACTAAAATAAGAGGTTCTCCAAATCAGATTCTCCAAAAAACAAGTTCTAATACCACATCCACTCCAGAAATTCCAAAAGAAGACAATGTACTATATATAACTACAGAAAACAGCACTTAGATCACAAAACAGGCCATCCACTGTTCAAACTTCTTAAATCTGTGACAAATGTTTAAACTTCTTCTGGTGAGAGTCATCAACTGGAGGACCTCTTGTTCTTCCCTTCTTAAGTTGATCCCATATTGATGGTCCTTCAATGTTTGTGTTTGTGGTTGTTGTTGTATTGGACTGAGACATTTGTGTGAGAATAGAGACCTCAATCTCTTCAGCTTCTTCAAGAACAGGGGGCAACAATGTTGGATGCTGTTTTTGTTTCTTTGTCATGTGCACTGAACCTCCAACACCATCCTATATGAGATTGAATATTAAGGCAAAAAATAATATCAAAAAGTTGAAGTAATACAGAGAAGTTTGAAATAGCAAAGTTTTGAATTTTACCCTAGACTCCAATGCAGCTGCAGCTGTGGATGTAGGAGGTGGTTGAACATTATTTGATCTCATCCCAGCTTCTTCATTGGAGGCTCTCCTATCACATGTTTTGCTATTATGGCCCACAACACCACATTTCTTGCACTTCACACTCTTTTGTTGCCTTCTAAGTCTCTGTCCATCCATTACTTTGCCTTGTTTTTTCTTCTTACAAGGTCTCTCATCACTTTCAAGCCTTCTAGACTTACCTGGTCTTCTCACACCTCTGCCAAAGTTTGGAGGCAATGGTGGAATATACAAACTCTTATCCAACAGAACCTCACCATTAATGCCCATTATAGCTGGTCCATAAACTTTGTGATATGTATCAACAGAATAACAATTGGCAACATGATCAAATGAGTCCATTTTGGCAAAAAACATAGCACTACAGGCATGAGAGCAAGGTATTCCAGTCAAGCCCCATTTTCTGCAGGTACAAGTCCCTAGATCAAGATTTGCCCACCATTGAAACAAGAGACCTCCCAGTTTGCATGATCACACTTGAGAGGAATACAGTTACCCACCTGTTCAATATTCCCTGAAATGATGTCCTTAATTTTTGGACACAACCTATCCTTCCAAATTTTTGCAGCCTTATCCCTATTTTTCTGAAGCCTAGTGGTTAGATATTGCCTAATCCACTCCAACATAGTTAGCATAGGTTTGTCCCTAGCCTACAGTATGTTTCCATTAAATGTCTCACATACATTATTTAGTACCATGTCACAGTTGGGGCCTTCTTTGAAATGTGACTTGCTCCACTCTGATGGTGGTTTGTCACTGAGCCAATCTGCTGCTTCTGGACTTAGTTCTCTCAACTCATCCATGCAGTGGTTGAATTCACCAACAGTAGTTGCCAATGTACATTTCCAAAGAGCCTTCTTGTACTCTAGACCTCTAAAACCAGCATTCTGAAAGTTGTTATGGAGATGTCTCACACAAAATCTATGGTGACAATCAGGAAGAACAGACATAAAAGCTTGGATTAGGCCTTTCTGCTTGTCTGAAATAAAGGTCCAATCTTGCTGGTTTTGTATTTCTAGGTCATTCTTCAAGAGAATCAAAAACCACTCCCAAGTCTCCCCATTTTCTGAAGACACAATGGCATATGCAAGAGGGTAGTGATTATTGTTTGGATCAACAGCAACAGCTGTGAGTAAAATTCTCTTATGAGGCCCTTTTAAGAAACAACCATCAACTCCTATGATTGGCCTACAACCTGCCTTAAAGTCTTTCTTAAGTGCACTGAAGAAAACATAGAATCTATTGAACCTCTTCTCACCATTTTCAGCATCATCAGTACCCAAAATAACAGTAGAACCAGGATTTGATCTAAGAAGTTCTTCTCTGTAATCCCACATTTTGGTGAATTGATAATCAGGGCACCCTTCCACAATCTTTAATGCCTTTCTTCTAGCCCTATAAGCCTGAAACTTAGAAACATGGCAACCAAGCTTGTGAACTATTTCCCTCCTCCATGGCTTCACTTTTCTGTTTGGATCAGTCTTGAAATCATCAAGATATCTACCTGTCAGCCAAGGTGCTTTCACATTTTTTACATCAAATGTAGGAGGACAATTGTGGTCATCAAGAAATTTTTTAATCTTGTATGA